TTGGTTTGTTGCTTCAATATCTAGTACTCGAAAAATGTAAGATACAATAACTGGTATCTTTACATATACGATTCGGCCTTAGAAAAAAAAACATCGAAATAAAAAGAAAGGATCTTTAAGGAAAGTGTTTTTAAATAAAACACTGTATATATTTTTGTTAATTATGAAAGAATTAAGAAAGTTATCTTATATGTGTATATTTCACAATGGTTATTGAGTTATTTGAGGAAGATTAATTGTGACACCAGTGAATAAATTAACGTATGGTTTGCAAAACTGAAAGAAAATTTAATTTGTTCAATGTTAACGTAAGAAAGATAAATTTTCGTGATTTTTAGTTTTTTTTTTCCAGAATACTTCAGTGTTAGATATATTTCAGTTCTTCCATATCTCTGATAACGTCAACAGTAGAAAATGTTTCAAATAAAAGCTGTGTTTTTTCACATTTAAAATTATTTAGGATACCCCGATTCTTCTCGGTGTTACCTAACTGCGTCCTTTAATTTTCCATTGATTTTATTGGAATTAGAGCCTTATAGACTCGAACAAGTTTAGTATAAAATCTATTTTCTGATTTTATTAACTCATATTAGGGTTTATTTCTTATAATTGGTGAGATATTTGAGAGCGTTTTCAAATTTATTTTTTTTACCTTTCATTCCATTATATTAAAAATAGCACTTTGCTTTTGGGGTTCTGTAACTATACTACAATGCGAAGGATATGCTAAATCTAAAAAGGCGAGCTGTCGGAGGTGTTATATCCAGAATTTTTGATAATGTTGATGAGAATTTTAAGAAATGCGTTTGAGTATTTTGAACAATTGTAGGATCTTTTTACTGGATTTCTAATGTGTGTAAATAGCAACAAAAGTGTAAAAAAAACATCAAAATTTCTAATACTGTAAGAAACAAACCCCAATATGCCATTATACAATCGAAAGTAAATTAAAAATCGAAATATCTGTGTCTGGAAACTTTTAACTCCAATTACATTTTTTCTCATATTACATTAGAATTTTTAGATTAGATATTAGAAATTCTCTCCCAACGGTGAAATTACATTTTCACTGTTGGGAGAAAATTATATTTTCTCCCAACGGTGGAAACATTTTTATAATAACCTATCGGGACGTTTTCATTATTTATAGTTTTCCAGGATGCACCTACCATAACTTCTCAAATACCTCGCCGACTGTTCTTTTATAATTCATAAAATTATATATGTATGCCATGTTTCATGGAGAAATTCTTATTTCAGTGTACCTTTTTGCTTACCGACACGCTTGACTTTTTTTCGAAAAGAACGTTTGCATTTACATATTTTGTGTATCCGATATTAAAGGTGTAAATCAAGTGAGAGAGTTACGTTGCAATTTTATGCGATGCCCGGCTGCATTGATTTGGTCAGACACGGTACTCGACTTAATCAGCCTCTTCCCGGTTATATGCATATGCATGTGTCGGCGTGCATATGCGTATATGTATGTATTTAATGTAACAGGCGTTTTGTGGAAAGCTAAAGTAGTTACTACTATTGGTACCGATCCGATCTGAATGTTCATGAGTATATTAATTTGTAAACGTTTATATACGTATAATATACAGTAGCAGCTTTTCTGTAAGAGCTGCTGAATATAACACTGCTAAATAAACTAAATTCGAGAAGGTATATACTGACGAGTAGCGAGTGTATGCTGCTAGTAGTACTTACACCTTAAGTAAACTTCAATTTCTTGCTTGGAGGCATATATGGTTTATTTCCCGGCCACTTCACTCTTGTGTGTGTGATAACATAACATAATTGACTAGTAATAAAACTGTTGTCATTGATTCTTTTAATTAATGTTCTCATTATTTTCCTAAATGGTTATTGCTATATTCCCATCTTAATTTTTAAAACAGTAAAATTGAAAGTATTTATATCATTTAGTTTTAGTGTTTGTGATGTGTAAACTGTGTTGGTGGAATTTGTATGAATTAATATTGAAAATAACAATATTAAAAGTTGAACAGTGTTATTCATTGATACTGGCATTGTTTAATCGAGTACTGAGAATCCTTTTTGTTAATATTAAATATATACATTAACAAACGTAAACGGCATACATATTTTTATCCAGCTCTATACATGTATAGTAGTTTCCATATCTTTCCAACGCACAAGAACCATCGACCTCTTCCGTTTTTTTGAAATTTTGGGATGTGAAGCTACTTTGAATTTTATAAGGGTCTGTGGCGCCATATCACAGTTTACATCATGATAGCGTAATTCCAGAAAAGAAAACGCATATTTTTTTCAAGTGGCTGTCATTTTGACCCAAATCATCCTATTGAAACTTTTTTTTTTCAAAATGTGCAGGATTTTATCAACTTTTACCTGTTTTTTTCAGAATTCAAGTTGCTTTAAAACTTTGAGAGATAAATGAGAAAAACGGAAAAAAGTTTTTTTTTGGTGAATATAAAAGGTGGGTTTTTTGAGAAAATCAATTTTGAAAAAAAACTTACTTTTTTCCGTTTTCTCATTTATCTCTGAAAGTTTTAAAGCAATTTGAATTCTGGAAAAAACAAATAAAAGTTGATAGAATTCGGCAGATTTTGAAAAAAAAAAACGTTACAACAGAATGATTTGGGTTAAAACATAAATATGCATTTTTGAAACTGCATTTTCCAAACGAAAGAAGTTAGTATATTGCCGCTTGGCTTAAAGATAGCTTATTTGGCCTTGGAAAACATATCAAAATTTAATGAAAACAAAATTTGGGGTTTTTGAGAAAATCAATTTTGAAAAAAAATCACTCCATTTTGCTCATTTATCTCGCAAACTTTTAAAGCAATTTAAATTCTGAAAAAAACTAGGTAAAAGCTGATAGAATTCTACACGTTTTGTAAAAAAATAGCTATTTATGATATACGTGTTAAAAGTAAGATTTTATTTTGTGAGTGAAGATGATTAAAAAACGAGCGTAGCGAGTTTTTTAACTTCACGAACAAAATAAAATTACTTTTAACACGTATATCATACACTATTTTTTCTACAAAACTGTTAAAAATGGGCTTTTTAATTGTCATTTTTGATGTTAAAAATGTCATTTTTTGACATTTGACATTTTTAACATCAAAAATGACAATTAAAAAGCCCACTTTTAAGTTTTGTAGAAAAAAGCCTTTTTGACAGGATGATTTGGGTCAAAATAACGGCCACTTGAAAAAAATATACATTTTTATTTTCGGAATGACGCTGTCACGATGTAATTTGGACAAAAAAAAAAATTGGATCTCGCAAAATTTAAAGTAAATTAACATCCGAAAATTTCAAAAAAATCGAAGGGATCGATTTTTTTTTGCTCGCTGAATCCGTATGGAAACTACCATATACGATTTTAGGACTTCATCTACAACGTGTTCCATTATGAACAGCACCACCCTGGTATTCCGGTATTCCTGGTATAGTGTGTTTTTATTTAAATTTCATAGTCTACAGTGTTCAAAAACCTTTGTCAAAAATTGGAAAATCATATAGGACATATTTTTTAAGAAAAAAATTGATTACTAATCCAAAATTTAATTTTCAAACATCATACAAGATTTTGTATAAGTAAAGAAAATATTTCATCACATTGAACCATTATAGTTTAGAGTTTGTAGCAAGAGATGGTCTTTGTAGAAGCAATAAAAAAATATTGTCAGTTACTAAAATATAAATAGTGCAATGTGGTAAGGCTTTGTCGATGCGATGACAAATACAATGTTATGCTGTAATGATAAACTTGTTTATAAATAAAGAAATTTCAAAATTTCCCAGGGGGTGTTCAATAACATTCTACCCACCCTTTTATCATTTTTATCTTTCCATCTACCAAGATTATGAAATTTCTTGCAATCTCAAAGACACAAAAAAAACAATTGAATGTTGCATAGCGAAGATTTAGGCAGGGCTGGCTTAACAATGGCTCTGGATAAATTGTTGGGCTGGTATAGTGTCTCTCAAACATTGCATCTTAAAGACTATACTTAACTAAAGCGAAATGATCTGTCAAAGTGAAATTTTCATCTTAACTGATAGGAATACATACAATTCATGTTAAAATAATACTTTTTTTTCAATTACTTTTTACCAAAGTTTTTTCAACACTGTGTGCCATGAGATTAGAATCACATGCGAGATACATCTCATCAAGTACTCCAGGCTGAAAAAAAAATGAAATTGAAAATGGACTCTTTGTCCTAAAATACGAGTGCTGCTCAAAGTGAAACACCCTGTATATAAATGTGTATATTATTTATTATATCTGTTATACTTTGAAATATGAAAGAAAATGTGGAAGAATGAGTTGCAGGAATGTTAAATTTTGTAATGCCCGAAATGTAAAAACAATTAAACTTCTTGTTACTAAGATGTTAGGTTTATGTCTCCATAACATGATTTCAATTGTTTTTCCAATTTGGGCTATTACAAAATTTTATGATCTTACGTTTTCTCTCGTTATAAAGTATAATGGAGAAAATGCTGGGGTAATCTTCACACGACCGTCTAATATGTGTAAAATTCTAAATCTTTCCTTATGACCCTTGATTTGAAAGTAACATGAAAAACTTATATAACTTTTATGCAGTAAAATTAATGTAGACATAAATTTATTGAGTATTAATTGTACAGCACTAGATATTAGGCAAAAATTTTATCATGACCTGTCCTGTAATTTTAGTATACATAGTCAATACTATTATTTTAAATATTTGTAGGTATTTATTTTATTTAAGTCACACTATACTGCGATAATAGATTTTATTCTAATATTTAGTCAAAATTTTTTAACATCTCAGGGTCTAAATAGATTTTTAAATATCCTAATTTTCATAGATTACAATTATTCCTTCTGCAAAAAAAATAATGGGATTGAAACACTGCGAGTGAGGCGAAAAAAGTTTATGTGTATTTAACCAACTACCGAAATAGAATTTTCAAATAAGAGGACTTGTTAAAATTAAAATGCAAGATTGCATCACTCAAATATAAGTACATTTTATTTAGCATATTTTATATAAATCAGTGATGAACAACAGATTGTGGAAAGCCAAATTCAAAAATTTGTTGACAGTGATATAATTACTTTTCAATAAAACCACTTCCTTTTGATAATCTCAAAATATCCTCATTTGGCCACCTATAAAATAATAGTCGTTCATTACTTTTAATGTCTTTTTTATAACAATATATTTTCATGTCGCAGAATAACAAAATTTGAAAATCTTATTTATTAGGACAATCAGGCTGATGCTCTGGATCAGCTTCCCTGAATGCTGGGTGATTTTTCAGTCGGGTGTCAATTTTCAAAATATTCGGAAAAAGTTCTAAATTTACTTGAAATCTCCTTGCATTATAAACTTGGGGTATTAGAAAACAGTCAGCTAATGTGACGTCGTTTCCAATACAATATTCGCCTGCCGTTGTACTTAATATTTTTTCTACGGCTCTAAAACCTTCGTTAATCCAGTGTTGCGCCCATTCCTGTTGCTTTTCTTTGCCAACGTAATTCAGTACTTTAAGATTCTGCAATGGCTGTATTCCGCTTGCAATAATTGCACATATTTCCCTAACCTAAAAAAAAAGTAAATATTCTACAGCGTCATAATTAAATTTGTAACAGCATCATAACTGTTTAGATTTTCAGATTCATTTTGAAAAAAAGTTATGAAGATGTCACAATGTTAAGTAGAACACTATATACAGAGTGTTTCCCATAAGAACCGACACAGTGCAGGGGCATGTAGGGGAACCCAAAATATGGTGATTGGACACAACTTACATTTATACTAAGGTGCACCACAGAGAAGTTAGGTCTTGAAAGTGGGGTTTCAAATTTTGGAAAAAATCTATATCTCAACTATACTTGAACTTAGAAAAACCAAATTTGGTACACGGTATGAGTGTACCAAGTGCATTAATCAACAGTAGAGTTCAATTGAATCATTTTAAAGGGTTGATAAGGGATGATGCACCATTAAAATGTGAAAATTTTTTAAGCCGTTGGCAGACTTAAAAAAATTATTATTTTATTTTATAGGGAATTTAATTCTAAAACTTTTCTTACTTGTGCTCGTTTTCAAAAAACTTTGTCGGTTTCATCAAAAACACGATATTGTGCAGTTATTTAAAATCATCGAAAACTCAAAAGTTAGCTATGTATTTAAACGTCGCTCTTGACGATCAGGAAAAAATAGTTGAAATAAGAATAATTTAATAGAAAAGCAAATATTTCTCTCAGGCATAAATCTATTCTTCATGGAAAATTCTACTCTATCCAATAATCATATTTGTGTCTAACTTAGTTTTTGAAGTCAATATTTGAATTTTCGATGATTTTAAATAACAGCTACAATATACAGGGTGGTCCAGATTTTAATAGACAAACTTCGGGAAACTACTAAACAACAAAAATTAACATCATTTTGCTCTATGAACATAGGCGCAGAAAGCCACCGTTTATGAGATACAGGGCGTTGAAATTAACAAAAATAAAACAATTTTTTTAAATATCTGGAAAACGGCTTTATCAAATTTATCCAAATTTGGTACACATTTTTTTTCAAATATTTCCCCTAGTTTTGTATGCACATAATCCAAATTCAAAGACCAGTGGCGGAGAAACAAGGATGTTGTTCTCTTATTTAAAGTAAAACTTCTACGCCACTGAATTAATTGGTTTTATAATGGTCTGAAACATTCTGGATGAAAAAACATTTTTTTATTTTTGTCGAAAAGTGAATGGTTTACGAGTTATGAGACATATTATTCAAGTAAACAAAGCGTTGAAATCGGGAAAATAGAACAAAGTTGGGTGGTCCAGATTTTAATAGACAAACTTCGGGAAAGTTTTAAATAACAAAAATTAACATCACTTTGCTCTATGAACATAGGCGCAGAAAGCTATCGTTTATGAGACACAGATCGTTGAAATTAACAAAAATAAAATAATTTTTTCAAATATCTGGAAAACCGCATCATAATATGTCTCATAACTCGTAAACCATTCACTTTTCGACAAAAATAAAAGAGTGTTTTTTCGTACGGAATGTTTCAGACCGTTGTAAAATGTATTCATATTACTAATTAATTCGGTGACATGAAAGTTTTACTCTAAATAAGAAAACAATATCATTGTTTCTCCGCCACTGGTTTTTGAATTTGGACTGTGTGCATACAGAACTAGGAGAAATATTTGAAAAAAAGTTTGTACCAAATTTGGATTTTGATGAAGCGATTTTCCAGATATTTAAAAAAATTGTTTTACTTTTGTTAATTTTAACGCCCTGTATCTCATAAACGGTGGCTTTCTGCGCTTATGTTCTTAGAGCAAAGTGATGTTCATTTTGGTTGTTTAGTACTTTCCCAAAGTTTGCCTATTAACATCTGGACCACCCTGTATATTATTAGTTATTCGGGTTTTTGTTGAAAACAACAAAGTTTTTTAAAAACTAACAAGAGTAAGAAAAGTTTTAGAATGAAATTCCCCATAAAGTAAAGTAATCATTTTTTAAGTCCGCCATCGGGTTAAAAATTTGTGTCACATTTTAATTGTGTATCTTCCCTTATCAACCCTTTAAAATGCTTCAATTGAACTCTACTTACTGTTGATTAATGCTCTTGATACACTTGCACCGTGTACCAAATTTGGTTTTTCTAAGTTCAAGTATAACAGATATAGATTATTTTCGAAATTTGAAACCCCCCAAGTTGCGTTAAATCATCATACTTTCTGTTCCTCAACATGCCCCTGCTCTGTACCGGTTCTTATGCGAAACACTCTGTATATTTCCTGGTTCCACATTAAATTAACTTAACACAAAATTTCAGATAAAAAGTAAAATTTAACTTTTGAACTATTATTTGTAGACATAAAAAAAAATTATTTATGTGACAAGGTAGGAGCGTCACTTTATTGAACAGGTTTGTATAATACCAGTCAATGCTATCCAGCCAACCGCTTTGATAAAAAATACTACTAGTGTATACAGTGACCCAGGACTGATGGTTGCCGTCATTATAGGAATATGGACAGTGAAAGGAAACCACAAGGGGGATTTTTATAGCTCAATACAATTTGACTTAAAATTTCATCCTGAGAAGTTTACCGCCCTTTGAACTGCGACGTCCTTGAAGTTATTTAAGGTGTAATAATAAAAAAGTAATATGCAATTATTGTAATTATCTGAATATCGATCGATATAACTTGGCAGATAAAGCGATTTCTGTTAGTTTCTTCCAATGGGCGTATGATAAAATTGCAACTTGAGTATCATAGTCGTTCTGTATCTACTGGTTAAATACTTACTTTGGCCCGTGCTCCAAAATCTGATGGTAGCAGAGGGATTTTTGGACGAGTTTCTTCCAAATATTCCAGAATACTGAGACTTTCAATTAAAATATTTCCATCTATGGCCAGCGAAGGAACTTGTTTCATAGGATTTATCTTACGATATTCATCCGAGTGTTGTTCATCTTTACCTTTTAAAATTGAAACTGGCACAATATCGTAAGAAATCTCTTTTAAATTCATTGCTGGAAATGTACAATTAATAAATTATTAATAGTTGGACTTAATAAAAGATATAAGGATGAGGTAAAATGAATAATTTTTTATTAAAATAATGTTGAATATTAGCATCAGGATCTGCACTAGTATTGGCGTAGTTTTTAACGTACAGTTTTTTACTTACTTTATTTATTAGAGTGAATATAAAATTATTTCTAATGAGATAGTATTTCAGTATCAGAATATAATAACAATAAATAATTATTATTTTCTTCGTTGCTCGTTTCATAAAATTCAATATGGCGCCATAGGAATAAACAAAGTTAAGATAAAAATGTTAGACCACGGTGAAATAAATTTCTTTGAAGAAAAGTTGTAATGGTAATATTTTTTTTATTAGTCGTACTTATTCCTGTAGTAAGAAATAATGTGAAAAGTTTTATTAAACAAGCGGATTAAAGTACCTTGTGTGGAAACGATAAACAATATGTCCAAAACAGATTTTTGTATGAGACCTTCAGATTAGTTAAACATTGCTGATCACATCAGCTCATTTTTTTGGACATTATCTGTTCTATAAATTTAAGCATTTTTTTTTTGTTAGAAAAAAGATTTGTATTTCCAATACAGATAAAGATACAATAATTACCCAAAACTTACCAATTCGAACTCTCCATGAGCAGGAACTCCTCCAATAGGAATATAAAATAGCCTAAAAAAATAAATCTACTGATATTGCTTCAATGTAAGTATGTAGAAATTGTTCACACTATAGCTTATTGACTTTAAGTTTGGTAGCGTCTTTAACGAACTTATTTTGGATACACGTAAGTTTAACTTAAATTAAAACTCATTTTGATTTGCACAAATTTTATTGTTACACTCTGTATGTAACAAATATACCGTCATCCAAAGTTGTTTCGTTTAGCCGATTGAGGTAGTCGAAGTTAGTAAAATATTTAAGTTTCCAAATAACTCTAAAAAATGCTTCAGCCGATTGAAATAGAATATTACTATGCAAGTATTTGTGTACAGATGTTACGTTTTGAGACAGTAATCTAGGGAATTGTAGAAATTGTAAAAATACTCCCACTGCTAATCAAATCTACTCGTATTTTTTTGCAAGATGACCTTTCAATTTCAGTTTTCATTTTGTCACAAAGTTCAAGCTTTTCATCTTGTGGTTTCTTCACAAATTATAATACCTGTTTTACATTGCCAATTTATTCACGAATTAATTCACAAAGTTTTTCATTAATTCCATGGGCGTAGTTAAGGGGAGGGCACGGCCCACCCCAGAAAACGGTGCCCACCCAAAAAAATGTCTTATCGGTAAGATATTAGATATAATATAGTTTTTTTTTCTTAAAACCACCACAATATGAGTTACGAGCAGTGACTATAATCAAATTTAGTAGATAAATGTTTATTTATTGTAATCCAGACAAATTGTTAAATATAATTTTATCAAAAAATATTTTATAAAATATGTTTTTTCAAATATCAACACTAAAAAATCGAAATATAAACCGATACATCCTGTATAAAGATAGTTTAATGGCTATAAAACTCTGTAAAAAGATAGTATAATATAATATATAAAATATTTAAATTCATATACCTATATGAATTAGATTTCGTGGAATTAGGAATACTTTACATTTGACCCTATATTGACCCCCGGAAAAAAAGATCTAATATTTTTGTCAATATCATATCGGCATATCGATCGGTAAGTCGCTGACTGCGAGACCTTTTTTTTAGAATGAAATAAAAATGTGTTCAGGTTTTGAAATTTTATTCGGCAAGTTGCTGATTGCGAAAGCTTTTTTTTTTAGAGGTCCCATAGAGCTTGCAGCCCTGGGCCCACCCCAAGCAAAAATTCTAGGTACGCCCATGATTAATTCTCAAATTATTCATAAAGGATTTCGTTTTAGATGGTTTTAAACTTCGTGAATTTTTTTGAAACAAAAACAGTTATATACTACCAATTTTGCAAGCAAGTCATATAATAGTAAATAAAGACAAATTGAAAATTAAATTCTACTTTTAGACCACGCCCCGCCGCGCCGCTTGGTCAAATTGAATTGGTCGAACGGAGCGCGAGATTCAAATTGGTAGGAAATTCAAACCTGACGATTCGGTCTATCTCTTACTCTGGGAAACAACATTAACGGATGAGCACAAAAAAAAATAAGGTAAAATTGAAACTTGTACAGAAACAAATAACTGGGCTTTATTGGTGTTAAATTTAGAATTACATAAATATTATGACATGCGGTTGAACAGAAAGGTCTGGCGAGGAAAATCAAAATTAAACATGAACAATAATAAAACATGTAAAACCAAACCCTTTATGAATTAATTTATCTACCTACAAATAACGATTTTCCGTTAATTAATTATTTTGATACCAATCTGATGATAATAAAAACCAGGTAATGCGTTTTGTGAAGTTCCAAAACTTGCAACCGAATAGTCCCTCACGAAAGTTGTTGGGAAAAAATCACAATTTTTAATGACATAATTCAAAAAAATAATTGCACTCAGATTTCTTCTATTTTGTAAACTGAGTATCAAATTTGAATCTGTGTAATTATTTTTATATTTCAGTAGTATTAAATTATATGAATTCGATACAAAACGGTTTTGACATAATTTGCAAATGAATGTTATTTTTTGCGGTTCGTGTATCCCTGAAAATGTAAATCATTTCATGTGCCAGTTACGCGTTTTGCGGTAACGGCTCTGTTTTTAAAAATCTTAATAATTTGAAGGATTACAAAAAATAGACTTTCTATCTCGATCGTTTGTTTTTTCATGCAAGGCAATACCTAGGTACATTATAGTAGGCTTAAGTCAGATAGCGAATCCACTGATGAGTTTGTAACTTGTCCATTATTTTCGTGCTAAAAATACTTTTTGCACTAGTCGAATAAGTAACTACGAATATTAGTTTAAGATAAAAAGTTTTTATTTGATTTATATGTACTTACTTTTCCTGCCATAATTTTAGTCTACCTACACATTACTAACAACAACGTAAAATTTACTTATAATCGATAAAATACTGGAATGTGAAGGTTGTTCAGTTCATTAAAACATCTAGTCCTGTTTATAATGTTGATTATTAAATACCATCAGATATGTAAACACTGCGAGAAACCACACTTTTTCAATCCAACAACTAGAGGTACCAAAGTAAATAATCGAAAATTATTTAAATCGGTATGAACCTACATACTATTGTTACGTAATTTTTTTTTATACATACTCATACTATTTATTGACAAATGTATACATTAGACTGCATAGATAAGAACAAGTACAGGACAGTATATATTTATACATATGAGTGAATAAATAAGAGGATTTTAATATTTTTCTGTTGACAGCAATATTCACTGAATCAAATCAAGAGAGTACCACCATCGTCCGCCATATTCGGGCCAAATGTATGTTTGGTTGCATATGGTTATTACCGGTTAGATCTCGGATCTGATTTCTGTCACAAACTATGCAACCATATAATCACTGTATTGAGATTTGTCAACCGACGCCATGTTCGAGCTATTAGATTGACAGGTTTATGAAATTATTAGTGAAAAAACAATACTTGCTTTATAGTGGAGTCAAGATAGATTTTGACTTCGCGAAAATTACTGGATGAGAGAACTTTTTATTTTTCGCTTTGTAAAGTTGTCAGAAACAACATATAAAAAGTTACCAACTGTAGAGTGTACGCTAAATTATTTATTTAACAAATTAGATGCAAAATTATAGTTTTTGCAAAATATAAAAAAAATATAATTTAAAAAAAAATTTATTGCACCATTCAAAAGAACAGGAAATTTTACATAAAAAATGGGCGATTCACAAGTATAGCTATCGAAGAGCGCGCAGCCCCGAGCGCGCTACATTAAATTTGTTATAACTTTTGATCTAATTGATCAAATCGAATTCACAAAAATTTAAATGAAAGAAGAGACATCCGGCTATCAATTTTACGTCTTGAGAAAAAAATATATAAATAGTATGTATACAAAGTTACGTCATTCTATAATTTTGTCATTATTTTAATTTTAAAAATAAATATCTGTAACTTTCACAGATTGCTCTTTAAATGACAATTGAAACAGTGAGCGATATGGAAAAAATCTTAAAAATTTAATTTGAAAAATATTATAGATCAAAAACTATAGTTGTAAATGTGATATTGAAACTTTATGAGAGCACTTTTTAAAGCTTAAAATCTCTACTTTAAGATGATGCATTTTATTTTTCTTAAAAAATTGGAAAAATAGTTGAAAAAACAAAAAATAAAAATATTTCATGAAAAATCCGTGAAATTTATTGTTAAATAAAGTTTAATAATGTAAAAAACAATTTTTTTTTGTTTAATAAACCATTAAAGAATTAAGACTTAAAAAAAGTAAATCCAGCGAAATATAACGTTTTTTGATGAATTGATTTAATATTCACTTTTCGAGTAAGCTGCAGTTATCAGTGTGTTAAAAAGTGTATTATTCACATATTTTGTCCATTTTGAGGTTATACATACTCTCGTACACTTATAATTCTTTAATGTAATATTATTACTTAATATTACAAATAATCTTGTTTGCATTTGAGTTATTTTTATTTGTTTTCTTTTATGCTAAACCTGTAACTGTATAAGTTTAATATTTATATATCCATTGATCCATTTTTAAAATAATTAATGAATAAATAAATAATAGGGTTGATTTTGAAATTTTGTATTTAAAATCAGTTTTTTTTTTTCAATTTTATTGGCTTAAAGCCTTATTTACCCAATTATTTTTGAAGAAGAGCAAGAACTCGATGAGATTTAAAAATTAATTATTTTGTAATAAATTTGTTTTTTAAAAAATAAAACATATTATTTTCAATAAAACCTTTAGCCATTTATAATTTTCATTTTTTGAACCTCTATATTACAAATATGAGCGAGTTTAATATAAAATCGATAATTGTTAAATAAATTGTTTAAAATAGTGAGCCGTATTGGATCAGCCATTTTGAATTTTCATTTTCCGACTTCATATTCTTGTTCAGCGACATCGAATACCCCTATCTTGTCAATTTGGAAGAATTCGATTTAAATTCATTGAATTACTTTAAATCTTCAGTAGTATTGGCGTAGTTTTTAACTTACAGTTTTTCAAAACTTTAAAAATGGAGTAGTATTACCTACTTTATTTATTAGAGCGAATATAAAATTATTTCATTAAACATTATTTCAGAATATAATAACCATAAATAATTATTATTTTCCTTCAGTTTATGATATTGTTCATTGTTGGAAAGCTAAACAAAAAGCATTTGTTCATAAAATTGAATATGGCGCTATAGGAAAAAACAAAAGTTAAGATAAAATGTAGGACCATGGTGAAATAAATTTCTTTGAAAAAAAAAATGGTAATATTTATTTTATTAGTCGCACTTATTCCCGTAGCAAGAAATAATGTGAAAAGTTTTATTAAATAAGCGGATTAAAGTACCTTGTGTAGAAACGATAAACAATATGTCCAGAACAGATTTTTGTATGAATTATGAGATTAGATAAACATTACTGATCACATCTGTTCCATAAATTTAAGCATTTTTATATATTTTTTTTTCTATTAGAAAAAAGATTTGTATTTCAATTACAGTTAAAGATACAATAATTACCCAAACCTTACCAATTCGAACTCTCCATGAGCAGGAACTCCTCCAATAGGAATATAAAATTGCCTGAAAAAATAAATCTACTGATATTGCTTCAATGTAAGTATGTAGAAATTGTTTATACTATAGCTTATTTGACTTTTTACGGAAAATTGAATATATATAAGTTCAATAGCGTCTTTAACAAACTTATTTTCGATACACATAAGTTTAACTTAGATTAAAACTGATTTTGATTTGCACAAATTTTATTGTTACACTCTGTATGTAACAAATACACGTCATCCAAAGTTGTTTCGTTTAGCCGACTGAGGTCGTTGAAGTTAGCAAAATATTTAAGTTTCCAAATAATTCTAAAAAATGCTTTAGCCGATTTAAATAGAATATTGCTATGCAAGTATTTGTGTGCATATATGTTACGTATTGAGACAGTAATCAAGAGAATTGCATTTAAAGAAATTGCAAAAATTCTCCCACCGCTAATCAAATCCTATTTTTTTGCAAGATGACCGTTCAGTTTTTATTTTGTCACGAAGTTCAAGTTTTTCGTCTTGTAGTTTCTTCACAATTTATAATACCTGTTTTGCATTGCCATTTTATTCACGAATTAATTCACGAAGTTTTTCATTAATTAATTCCATGGGCGTGGGGAACAGTGGTGTGCACGGCCCACCCCAGAAAGCTCGGTGACCACTCAAAAAAAAAAAGATTTAATATCTATCATATCGGCATATCGGTAAAACCTTTTTTTAGAATATTCATATGAATTTGATTACGTGGAATTAATACTTTTTACATTTGACCTTATATTGATTATAATATTATTGCTATTTCAATGAGTTTTTAAAATTAACTTTACCTAGAAAATAGCTCCCCCCCAATTTTGGAAAGAAATCTTTATAGAAAAGGCTATTTATTAAACAGTATAAGCATTGTATAAGTAAATTTACTTATACAATGGTATAAACAAATGTGTACCAGCTGTTTCATGCAAAACTCCGGGAAAAAGTGGGGGGGAAATTCCGGGGAAAGAGTCCGGGAAAAACTCCGTGGAAAATCTCCGGTGCTTGATAAGTAAAAAAACGAAAAAAAGTAAAAAATGACCAGCTTTTAGTATAATATAGGATTTTTTTCTTAGAATTACCACAATGTCGAGTTACGAGCAGTGACTTTATAATCAAATTTAGTAAATGTTGAATTTTAATCAAACAAATCGTTATATGTATATAATTTCATCTAAATCGGAAATATTTTATAAAATATGTTTTTTCAAATATCAACACTAAAAAATCCTATGAAATAATAATCGAAACATTAACCGAAACATCCTGTATAAAGATAGTGTAATGGCTATATAAAACAGATAAATTCATATGAATTAGATTTTATGGAATTACTACTTTTTACATTTGACCCTATATGGATTATAATCATAGGCATAGATACGGGGGAGCAGGGGTGTGTACAGCCCACTCCGGAAAAAAAATCTAATATCATCGCCTATCATATCGGCATTCGGCACAGAAGTCGCCAACTGCGTGACATTTTTTTTTAAGATGAAGTCAAAACGTGTTCAGGTTTTGAAATTTTATTCCCCAAGTAAAAATTCTAGCTACGCCCATGATTAATTCATAAAATTATTTATAAAGGATTTAGTTTTATATTGTTTTAGACTTCGTGTTTTTTTTTTAAAACAAAAACAGTTACTACCAATTTTGCAGGCAAGACAGTAAATAATAAGACAAATTGAAAATTAAGAGGGGAATAAAGATATTTTCTGAAAACAGACCTTCACCATAGTCTTTTCAAAAACTACACTATTTTCTGGGAAAATTATATGTGGCCTATATAGATAAGGTATTGACCAAGGAGTTGACATATTTTTTATTGCAAAATAATTTGTATTATTGAAGTTATGAATAAATAAAGTGAAACAAATTGAAATTTTATGTCATAGATCTTTATTATAATT